AATCAGTTTGATGGAAAATTTATTATGTGCACAGATTTTTAAATACATCGTAAATACAAATGTTCTTATTGAGAGATCTGAACAATCTTTAAAAGTATTCACATAATTATATTTTTCTTCTGTGCTGTGATTAAGCTGGGATTAATTGTATGGGTCATCTCAGCACTGAACGCAGTTTTAAGGGACAGTTTAGATAAAACACATCTCACATTAAAACAACAGTTTTCTCATCAGATTGCAGAACTTGTGTTTAAGATCGAACTTCTCGCCAGGAAGGGTCTTCCATATCAGTGACGTCTTTTGCCCCAAAGATGGTGGTTCAGTCAGAAGGTGGTGCAAACAAACTACTACAGGACATGATTTTCTAGTTCTAGGCCAAAACTCAGAGACTTTCATCAGGTCTGTTTTGGTCCAGCTGTGGGTTGTGTATGACCTTTATTCATCTGCAAGTCTAAAATCTGAGTTTCTGTCCTGGTTTGTTCCCGCCTGTCAATTAAAATGTGATTTATTACAAATCATTTAATCAACATATTGACATGGATCGCTGTATTGTTCCACCCCCAATAAGTAGTTTTGGTTGTTTCTGACAACATTGTGCTGGTTAAAAAAAGTTGCCAAAATGCATTTAATGCACCTTACATGTTGTTGGCTTACGGCTGATCTTCTTATTGGGGGAAAAAATGTCTAAATTAAATACTGTAAAATCTTCCTGGAGACAAATTTTTGTTTTTAGATTAAACAACCTGTCATGATTTGTAGATTCTGGACCCAGGAATGCAGACATAAACGCAAATAAAACCTAAAGGTTTTATCAAGGAAACAAAAACAATGGGAGGATTAATTGCTGCTGTGACTAATGATAACAGAGATCAGGTGTTGGGTGTGGCACGACAGAGAAGAAACTCACTTTGTAAAAATACACTATCTAATCTAATATACAGAAAAATATAAAACTAACCAAAAAATAAATAAAAAACAGATCCTGGCACAACCTGGAGCAAATGTTTAATGCTTTGGTATTAAGTATTTAACTTCTGTTTTAACTGCATCAATTTTTGGTTTCTTTACAATAATAACTAATTATTAATTAGGTCATAGTGGGTAAAAATGTATTTTATTTGCATTGTTCAAAAATAGATTTATAGCATTATTGTTTGCATTTCCCAGCCACACTTTTATCACCATGTTTTCATTCCAGGATACCGCTAAAAGAAAACATTTCAATATAACTGATTCTGCTTATTTCCCCTTCATCATCTGAACATAAATCATTGGCCTATGTCTGTACATTGAAACAAACAAGCCTGTTTTAATTTTCTTTAATACTTCCTCCTCTGCCTTTGCTCCGCAGCGCTAATAGCAACAACACTGGAATTGTGGACATAGATGTCACCGTTATAATGATAGAAAACAGAAATTTGCCGTCTCTGAACAGTCCAGAAACACAGAGACATAACTGGTGAGAAATGGTGAAATGTTGATATAAAAAATAACAATTTGTGCACAAAAAAAACACAACAAATCAAACACTGTTTATGAGTCCAAATTAGATGGCAACATCCTTTTAATTAACAATTGCTCAAGCCTGTTTAATTATAGGACCTTAGTTGTAATTAGCCCTTATAGACACTTATAATGAACACATTTTAAAGATGCAAGCACTGCATGTTCTTATTTTGTATGTGTGAATGAATTTTAACCGCACTGCCTGACCTACGTATACGAGTCCAAAGGTTTAATCTTGGAGCTCTAAGTCTTTGCAACAAAGAAATTGGGTAATCTGACCCTGTGTGCTGGACTTTGAAGTGTTAATTATTACATTTTGGTGGACACACACACAGTCAGTATGTGAAAGTAAAATATCAGCTGTATTTTAAGATTTAATGTCATAAAACACCATCATGAAATGATTTTCAGAAATCAAATATCAATAATTTCTGCTATTATTTAAAGGAAAATTGTCACAAATGGAAAGTTTTCTCTTGTTCATACAGTATTGTCCTTGATTTGTTTGCCTGCTAGAATAGTCCAAAGTTTCTGTTATTTAATCATTCAGAAGCTGAAACGTTTGAGAACCGCTGCCTGACTTTTTAGGAAAATAAAGAGAAAGCAGTTGGTCTAAGCATGTAACAAAGCTGAGGAAATCTGAAAGAACTGGAAGTTTAACAAATCACTTGTTTGAAAGTGGAAAATATGCTCTTTGGTTTTATTGTCCTGCAGAGACACACTCTGGCTGCTGCTTGTACTGCCAACATGTGGATCCTGATGGGTATTTATACACAGAAACTACATGAACTGCACATATAAAAACATAAAAAATAGCAATATACGATTAAGGTATTGTTTTTCAGTTATATAATTGTGATAAGCTGGTGGTCAGTCTACTCTGCTCACTTTGTTGTTGCCTTTTCCTTTAATAGACAGATTGTTTTCTCAAATAAACACAACTTTTGACTTGATTGATTTGATTTAATTTATTGATTTAACAGGAAAAGATTACTAAAAATCAAGCCTGACTCAGCATAATTGCTGTTTTACAGCAGGTTCCTGTTCTGCAGCACATAAAACACTCAGAAATACAGCATCACAATCACATCATTTACACCATAGACACAAAGACAAACAAGCATACCAAATTTCAAAAAGGCAGCATTTGCAAAATAGGAYGTCTGAATATGAACACAACAAAAAGTGTCCAGCAGATGGCAAACAAGATTCTTCTTAAAGGGCTGTGGTTTTGAAATGGACTTTATGTTTTGAGGAATGTCATTCCATGCTTTAGTATAAACATAGAAGAAAGACCTCTGGCCGTAACAGTTTTTAAAAGTTGGTAATATCAGTTGTCCTTTTGTAACAGATCTAGTTGAATGACCACTTCCGGAATTTGATTTGGGCAACAATGCACAGAGAGTTCCATAATTGGCACCTCGGAAGATCTGAAAATATAAATTAATACCACTATACAAAACATAATTCTGAAAAGTCAAGGCATTAGACAATGAAAGAGCTGTACAGTGACGAGTTCAACCAGGAAGTTTTTTATGAATTTTGTAGGCCCTGTTGTAGAGCCTAACTATGGGTTCTAAGATTTCATTTGTTGTAAGAGACCAAACAGGTAAACAGTGTGACATGGTTGAGAGTATAATGGCATGAAGATAGATATTTGAAACAGAAGATGTCAGATTGGATCTAATTTTTGAATAAACACATAATTTCTGTTTCAGTTTAGTGGTTAAGACTTGTACATGATCACGATAAGTCAAATGAGAATCCAAAGTAATTCCAAGATATTTGTTGGTAGTGATGATTTCAAGGGGTTTGTTTAGAAAAGTGAGTTGATTTGTTATATTGAAATGTCTCCTGGGTGAGGAAAAATACATGCACACAGTTTGTTTAACATTAATTGACAAAAGAATATCGTGAAGCCAACCTCATTGACAAAAGATTATCTAGAAGCCAACTATGAAATGTCTGAAGATCTGCTTGTAACTGACTATTAATAGATTCAATATTGAAATCAGACAAAAAAAGAACAGTATCATCAGCATACATTAAAATATTTGAATACTTCAATATTTTTGGAAGGTCATTTATGTATAATAGGAAAAGCAATGGGCCCAGTATGCTACCCTGCGGAACTCCCACAGAACAGGGCAGAGACCCGAACACAGAGCTTCCATGTTTCACAACCTGACACCTATCAGTCAAATAAGAGGAAAACATTTGTATTGCAGATGATGAAAGTTGAAAAGAAATCAACTTTTGTAAGAGAGTATAATGATCAACTGTGTCAAACGCTTTACGAAAATCAATACATACAGCACCAGTTACTTGACCTTTGTTCAAAGCAGCACRTATTTGTTCAGTGAATAAAATTAATGCAGACATGGTTGATCTTGACGTGCAAAAACCATGTTGGCTATTGCTTAGCATATTATTAGCTTCTAGATGCTGAAGTAGTTGATTAAATAATGTTTTTTTCAAGTTTTATACTAAATATATTTGATTTTTCTGCAACTCCAGCTGTGATTATGTAGCCTGAGGATGATTTTTTTGTCTTGGCCCTCCTCCATCGATGGATCCTAAAGGTAATCATTAACATCCAGATAAAAACATGATTATCAAGAACAATGTCCACAGTAACAGGTTGAAGTTCAGGTGAAATGCTTTCTATTTGTCACTTCCAAAGAAAACAGCATGATATGTGTTTCAATTACAAGATACCTTGTAATTTTTATTTCAATAAAAGCTTTATGGTACTGTTGGTTGTATTTAGCATTTTGAGAACACCAGATTTTTATAAAACCTAAAATATAATTCAGGTTACCAAACAGGCCTGTTTTATACACTGACAGCTGTTAATTTTAGAGCAAATGAGGATGACAAAGCTTTTAGAAGTAGTTTATAATTACCTTATTTATGATAAGCTTGATTAAGTTTTATTTTGTTTATCTGTAGCCCTTTTTAGGTTCATAAAAGTCTTGATTTCTAAAAAGATAAATGTGAAGTTTTGCAAATTTCCTCAGAAGATTTAAAAGAAAAGGTGTTCATGGTTTTTACATGTTTTATTACAAAGTCGTTAAAATGAAGTTCTGTACTTTGTGTTAATTTCTAGATATCTGGATTAATTTATGGCGTAAAGTCCAAAAATTGAAATTTTAAAACACATTCAATAAAATTTTGCCCCTTGATTTCAGTGTTGCTTTCAAAGAAATGCTAAATTTAACTTTTTTCCCAGCTTATTCAGTGGAACACAGTGATTTATGTTACCAACCCTGTGTTATAATGTTTAATTTACAGATACAATTGCATTAAGCACAAGTTAATGCATGCTTCCTGTTTACACACAACCTGCAATGATATTTTATGGTAAAATCATTATTATAATGCATTAACCAGAGCTGTGAACACATAGTGAGTAAAAAAAAATTAAATAAAAAAGAGACAAAACATACTAAAATGCACAATGATTAATGGATGGACAGAAGCTTTACTTATTGGGTTTCCTCGTAGGTTGATCATTAATAGTATTTACTGAACGTTCACGCATTTTTAACAATGTTCATGAGAAATTTATCTACAAGCTGGTTCCTCTACGCACGACACACCCCTGACCTGCCCTCCTATCTCACACACACTGAAAGATCCGTGATATAAAAGGTGGTGATGGTGCAGTCAAGTGGACCGACTCCAGCAGATCTCCTGTCATCCGTGATCCTTCCCCCCACCCCCCAGCAAAAATGTCCCGGGATTATTTTGGATTCTCCTACCTCAGAAGGCAACCAAGAAATGAAACGAGCAATGTGGCGCTCAACAATCCAGCAGATATCTCTGTTATTGTGATCTACTTTTTGGTGGTCTTGGCTGTGGGAGTATGGGTGAGTTCTCTTTTTATTTTGGTTAAATTTGACACAAACGTTAGGAGAAACAGAAATGTTGGTTTTGAAAAATTGCAAGTGCATTTTAGTAATCTCATAAGAACATGTTTATGCAAAATAAAACAGACAAGCGAAAAAAAAAAGCCTCAAGAGCCGATTCATGCCACAGTGAACGTGAAAGAAAGGAGGATGAATGGCTGTAAGACCAAAAGAGCCTCTCAAACTTGAGAATGAATGTCTTCAAATATCCTCCTGTCTTGTTGCAGGCTATGGTTCGCACCAACCGGTCCACTGTGGGGGGCTTCTTCCTTGCAGGGAGGAGTATGGTGTGGTGGCCGGTGAGTTTCTTACCCGCCTCAGATGAGAACAAACCTGGTTGTAAAATGTAAAAATGCATACATACCGTATTAAGCTGTTTTACGAGCTCTGAGTAACTTTCCTACAATAGAGAAACATGTATGACAGTCGTGGTCACTACAAAAAACTATGCCCACGTTTTTTTTTTTAAATCACTTGGTATTCAGCAGGCCTGACAGTGAATCATGACTCATAACATACATTGTGTAAATGTTTAATCAACAAAAACATGCCAAATTACAGATGTGAAAAACTATGTATTCTTTGTGCTTTTATATGGTTCAAAAAGGAAGATTTGAGAAGGAAGTTTCTTTAATGGCTTACATTTGATGTGCATCTGAACAAACCACAACTTCTGGAACAATGGGCCTCATGCAATAACATGTTTGCATTCTTATCCTAAATTTCTCTTACTTTTGTTCGTACAAAGGGTTCGTACGAACATGCCACGTCAGATTCAACAAACTCTTCTATCTTCAGGAAAAGTGTGTAAATGAGCTGCGTAAATTACACCTGTTCGTATCCAGCTGCTCGTGCACGCGAGAGGAGATTAGCATAATTAYCACCCCAAAAACACCATATAAGGCAATGTTTCCTGCCTCAGCTACAAGGAAGTGTCCATTCATGAAAAATGACAGCGATAATTAAAAAGAAAAACTTTACGAGTGCAGAGATTGAAGTCCGTCTGTCAGAGATCCAGAAAAGAAAATCTGTCATTTTTAGCAGGTCAGCTGTGGGATAAAAAAAGCTGCTAAATGTATAAACAACTGTGTTAAATGTCCTGATGCATCTCAGTAATCCAGGTAAAAAATCAAAAAGAAAAAACTTGTATAGGTCTTCTGGACGGGTTCTTCTTTAATGAAACGTTTTCAGTCTGAGAGTTTCAGGTAAAATTCAGGCTTTTGAGCCCTGCCTCCATGTGACTGATACTCACACCACATGGCTATAGTTGACACCTAATTAACAATTATTGTTAACAGGGGGTGGAGTGATACTGGCAATAGCCACGCTGTAGGAGGGGGACAACTGAAAACGGAGGCGTCCACCTCTGTTTAATGGTGGACGGTCTTTCTTCACAAAAATGGCTTCTTTTACTCCTCTCTCAAACCAACGTTCCTCTCTATCAAGAATGAGAACATCCTCATCTCTGAAAGAGTGACCGCTGGCCTGTAAATGAGTGAAAACTGCAGCGTTCTGGCCATTAGACGTAGCTCGTCTGTGTTGGGACATTGTTTTGAACAGTGGCTGCTTTGTTTCCCCGATGTATAACTGGTCGCAGTCCTCCTGGCACTTAACAGCATATGCAACTTTAACTGTGTTAAATCATTTTCATTTATTCAGAAGACACAGCGCTGCGCACCGTACCCCACCCCCTCCCCCCCACACACACGCGGTGTCAAGTGGTCTCAGTTGCGGTTCTGAAAAAAGCATTTTAAAATGATTTCAAAATAAGTCTGGCACTTTGGAGAAAACCCAGGACTTGCTAGAGGGATTATGTATCCCCTCTGGTCTGGGAACGTCTCAGAGTCCCCCAGGACGAGCTGGAAGTGTCGCTGGGGAGAGCGGGGTCTTTCTGCAGCTGCCCCCCGCATCCGGCAGCGGATAAGCCAGCCGGCCGGACAATTTATATTGTTAGTCTAAATTATTACATTTAAAATTATAACTCTAATTCAAGCAGAATAGCCTATTGTCAACATAATTATGGAGTGTGATTTATTTTCAACTCAAAATATCTTCAAACTAACGAAATATAAAGTTATTAATGAAGAAAACCCGTCTGGATAACAGCAGACTGACTGCTCGTAAAATATACGACAGGTCTGGACCACTCGTGAATTTTGTTCGTATCTGAAAAAAATCTTAGAATACGAAAACATTGGTGAATGCCACAAATTCTCCTAAATCACTCGTACGCACAATTTAAGAACAAATCTGTGCATACGAATGGTTCTTACATGAGGCCCATTGTGTATATGTTCAATCAACGAAAACATGCCGAATTACAGATGTGAAAAACTATGTATTCTTTGAGCTTTTATACGGTTCAAAAAGGAAGTTTTGAGAAGGAAGTCTCTTTAATGGCTTACATTTGATGTGCATCTGAACAAACCACAACTTCTGGAACAATGTCCTTTGCACAAATTTTTCTCGCGAGAGTTCTAACACTATTTTGCCACAATAAAGTTGGGCAATGTTGAGCCAACATTGTAACGAAATGATTGTCAAATATTCTTCACATAAGATACAGTGAGCTAATCTCAAAGATCATCTACAAGCTACTGAGCTGTGAGGTACTTTAGTTTTCTGTGTTTGCTTTTGCCTTTGTTAGGAAACAAATTATAGTATTTGTTATGTGTTGTTGCAAAAAATATTGTCCTATAAGTGTAAAGGACAATAAACTCTTCACTGTTGATGCTTTGTGCCACGAAGTCAATGCATTATGAAACATTATGGTTTGTTAAACTTTATTGGGTATGTAAAACATTTATTTTGCCATAACATAAAGGTATTCTGAGTTTCACACTTGAGTGCACCTAGTGATTTCTCAATCGGTTTTGAAACATGAAGATTTTCTTTTGCTTCATAAAGAAAAACAATATAATGCCTTGTTGCAGATCGGAGCATCACTCTTTGCCAGTAACATTGGAAGTGGTCACTTTGTGGGGATTGCCGGCACTGCAGCAGCAGCAGGAATAGCAATTGGAGGATTTGAATGGAATGTGAGTAATCATTATTTTTTTCTCTTTCTTTTAGCTTTATACACTCTTAATGATTGCATATTACATGTTTTAATGTGTTTTTGTGTGTTTCAGGCTCTTATTGTTGTTGTCATCCTGGGATGGCTCTTTGTGCCGATCTACATCAAAGCTGGGGTAAACAAAACATGGGTCACATATAAACGTATATTTATACACTCTGACCACTTTATAAGGTACATATGTTCTCCTCCTGCTTTGTCACATAAACAACTATGAACTGAGAATCTGATTATGGCCATTTTATTGGTCTGAGTATTTCTGAAAATGCTGATCTACTGTGATTTTCATTGATAGCCATTGTTAGGGTTTATAGAGAATGGTCCAAAAAAGAGAAAATACCCAGTGAGCAGCAGTTGTGAGGACAAAAATGTCTTGGTGGTGTCAGAAGTCAGACGAGAATGGACAGACTGGTTTGAGATGATAAAAATGCAAACGTAGCTCAACTAACTACTAATTACAACCAAGGCAGAATACCACAGTATGTCAAACCTTGACACAGAAAGGTTATTGTTGCAGAAGACCACGGTTAGTGTCCCTTTTGTCAAATTACACAGGCTCAACAAAATTGAATAGTAACAGATTGGAAAAAACATTGCCCAGTCTGATGAGTCTCATAGCACTGAACTCCTCCAAAGTCACCAGATCCCAGTCTAATCAAGCTAATTTAGGATGTGGTAGAACAGAGATTTGCATTGATGACATATATGAAACAAATACATGATGCTGGCGTGTCGATATGGAACAAATTAACTGAGGAACGTTTCCAAAACCTTGCTGAACCTATGCCATCAAGGAAAAGGGGTCTAACCCTGTACTAACAAAGTTAAAGTGGACAGTGAGTGTATTTTTACTTAAATGTACATCCATTACCACATTTTGAGTAATGAAAAAATCCAAAGTATCATTTGTGAATGTGTTCAGGTGGTGACCATGCCTGAGTACTTGAAGAAAAGGTTTGGAGGACAGCGCATTCGCATCTACCTCTCTGTGCTCTCCCTCTGCCTCTATGTCTTCACCAAGATCTCTGTAAGTTCATGTGACTGTGGCGTCAATTGCAATTTTTTTTTTTGGCAACAAATGGGACTGATTGAAATTTTCTCAACTAATCCCAGGCAGACATGTTCTCCGGTGCCATTTTTATCAACCAGGCTCTTGGACTTAATATCTACCTTGCAGTTATTGCGCTGCTGGCGATTACAGCGTTGTACACCGTCACAGGTCTGTCACTTCCTTCTCAGAGAGCAACACTTTACTCATAAATTAAAGCCAGAAAGTAGTCTTATCTACATGGCACCATGACAGAGGGTAAAGTCTTCTGAAGACCATAGAGCTGTGGATACACACACATAATCCCTTGTCTTAGTTCATGTGCAGTGTGTTATTGTGGTTAATTATCTATGGACCATGATAATCTTTAAATGGCTCTCCGTTGCTGTTCTGTAATAATGCACACACACACCTGAATGTAATTTTTACAAGACAAGCAGTAAATGAGGAGTTACATAAAAGAGTGAGGTCCTAATCTTTCTAGTAGACACATAACTATTGATAAGTGAAATAAATAGATTGTTAATGTAAAATGTTGTGTCTCAGGTGGATTGGCAGCAGTGATTTACACAGACACCCTGCAGACCATCATCATGCTTGTTGGTTCCTTTATTCTCATGGGGTTTGGTAATATTAAATTACTTTTATAATAATAAAACAAGATTGTCTTATGGAGGAGTGAAAGTGAAAATTAGTCTAACCTCCAAACATCTGCAGCTTTCAGTGAAGTTGGCGGCTATGAAAACTTCCAGAACCGCTACATGAATGCAATCCCAACGATCACGGGTAACTTTAGCGAGAAGTGCTACCTGCCTCGATCAGACGCCTTCCATATATTCAGGGATCCGATCACAGGAGACCTGCCGTGGCCTGGTCTGGTGTTTGGACTCACCATTCAGGCCACCTGGTACTGGTGCACAGATCAGGTCAGTAAACTGTCCTCTGTTACAGCTTTTACCACCTTTCAAAACAATCTATGGTCATAAACTCATCTGAATGATTTTTTACAGATCTATACACATGTTCATGTTCATTTATCTTGTCTGTTTTGCCTAAAGTCAATGAGGCGATTTGACATTGCCAACCTGATAGTGGAGCAATATGACATATAATAACCTTTAAGGCTCTGCCACTGACATTTTAGACAACTGGTGTACATTTCTGATATATTTTTTCCACTAAATGACAAATAAAAGTTGGATATTTGATCAATTTGTTAGCATTACAGTACATGACTAGTTGACTTTTTAAATTCCATCTTCAACATAAATGTCTCCAAACTTTTCATAAGTTGGCATAAGTTGTCTAAAATGTCATTGTGTGGCAGGGCCTAGGAGTAAAGTTATAAATCTGAAGCACAGGTTGGATGCAAATTTTGTCACTTCAAACTAATGATTTTAATCCACTTTCATAAGTGTTGATATCTCATTTTTTCATCTGGTTATATATTAAATCTTAGAAAAAGAAGTGAGTGTTTGTATTCCCTGTTATGTTGGTGTACCTCCAGCACACTCATCACATACTAAACAAATTGTGTTGCTACAAGAATACAACACGTTATTACAATAGTAGCAATGGTTTTAGGTCTCTACTTCAGTAAATGTTTTAGCACCAATACTTACAGCTTTACATGGCTGTTTTTCTGAAGGTGATTGTCCAGCGTTGCCTTTCTGCCAAGAATCTCTCTCACGTTAAAGCAGGATGTATTCTGTGTGGCTACCTGAAGCTGTTGCCCATGTTTCTAATGGTTTTTCCTGGGATGATCAGCAGGATCCTCTATGCTGGTGCGTGTACTATTAAACAGTTTTTTGTTATTGTTGAGGTGCCTGTGTAACAAATTATTTTTTTTAATTTTACCCAGATGTGGTGGCCTGTGTGGATCCAAAAGAATGTGAAAAATACTGTGATGCGAGTGTAGGATGCACCAACATTGCTTATCCGAAGCTGGTGGTGGATTTGATGCCCAATGGTGGGTGGATTAATATCTTCTTAATCAAAATTTCAGTATTTGTTTGTGTTTTCTTTGTTTCTTTTGTCCTCTAACTCTTATTTTTTTGTTTTAGGTTTGAGAGGTCTGATGCTGTCTGTGATGTTGGCTTCTCTAATGAGCTCCCTTACCTCCATTTTTAACAGTGCTAGTACTCTCTTCACCATGGACATCTACACTAAGGTCCGTCGCCAGGCCAAAGAGAGGGAGCTCATGATTGCTGGCAGGTAAAACACAATTTGGCTTGTGTTTAGTATGATTTAATATTCTGAAGTCTACCGTCACCAAATGTGTGTGTTTCACCCGTGCAGAGTGTTTATCTTGGTCCTGATTGGTGTGAGCATAGCGTGGATCCCTATAGTGCAGTCAGCCCAGAGTGGTCAGCTCTTTGACTACATCCAGTCAATCACCAGCTATCTCACTCCACCTGTTGCAGCTGTCTTCATGCTTGCCATCTTTTGCAAACGCGTCAATGAACCTGTGAGTTTTAACTTATGTCACATTTCTTACGACGTTTTTAAGAAACTGAAAGGACTCCAACTGGTGTGAAGGTTTCTTTACATGCTGATGACATGGTGGCTTTTCTGTCACCCATCTTCTGCAATTTAATACAATGTGTAAAACTGTATCCACCCATGATCCAAGGGGGCCAAATCTTTTTACAGTTACTAATGTGTATCAGTATTGTTGTGGTCTAGATAGATTCAGCTACGCAGCTTCATCTTAAATACAAATACTCATACTTTACTAGTGCTTATAATTGACTTTTAACAAATTTAATCTTTGTTTATAACATGCAGGTTAAGATATTCAGGGATCCAAGAAACATTATTAGGTAGCTCACCTAAGCAAAACTAAAGCATACACCCACACTTAGTCTACACAATGTTATCAACATGTTTCAGTTGTGCTCTGTTGTCATTCTGACCAAACAAGAGTATCATTAGGCATTAAAAAATATATGTATTATTAATATCAGAAATATACATTTAAAAAACAGCAAGGATGTATGGGACTTCATTTGAGTATCTACTAGAATCACCCTGTTGGTGTAAAAACTTTTTTTTTTATTTTGGTCAAAGTGTTCTTTTTAAAACTCATTTTAAAAATATGAATAAATTGTGTCTTTGTGACAAGTTGTTCCAAACAGCCTAACAAATCTAATTAAAACAGGCTGTTTGCTAATTTGTCTATTGTTTCTGCACAAAACTTGTTTTTGAGTTAAGAAGCCTTTTATGATTCATGATTCATATCAGAGTTAAGTTGCAGGTTTTACACATTTTAATTAATGCCAAGCGTCGTGTTTGCTGCTCGTCAGTTCTTGATAACACTGGTTTAATGCAAACACCACCAAATGTGCATGTTGTTTAAAACCGTTTCTCTGTCTTTTTCTTCAGGGTGCTTTTTATGGGCTCACAATTGGCCTGTTAATAGGACTGTCTCGGATGATTACGGAGTTTGTTTACGGGACGGGCAGCTGTAACAACCCCAGTGACTGTCCCACCATCATCTGTGGAGTCCACTACCTTTACTTTGGGATGATTCTGTTCGCCGTCTCCTGCGTCATCATACTCGGAGTTTCTCTAATGACCAAACCCATCGATGACAAGCATGTATGTGACAACAGTGAGATAAGGCTGGATTAATCTTTAACTTCCCAAATCAGTAATAGTTAACAGGGGATCACTCTTATGACAACTTCACTTACTAGAAAATGAACATTAAGTTTTTAAACCGTAAAGCCTTTTGACAAATTTTAACCCACTAGTACTTTTTTCTTAATCGCTTCTTAATGTTACAGTAAAAAAAGGAGCATTGTTATATTTTCAGTAAGAAATGGTTTGACTTAAGTAATCCTCTTGACCTCTTAAATACTTTAATGCTTCTTAATAACCACATCAGGGATTTTTTCATCATTTATACTTTTACCATAACTGTCATATCTTCATGAAAACTCAGTTAAATAAAATCTCTTTTAGAGACCATTTAATATATTCCATAAACTGCACAGACTGTAGACATTTCCAGTTTGGTATGTCAAAAGAATCCTTAATTGTTGACTTTTAACATAAAGTCTGAAGACTTTATAGTGATTGACTACGGAATTATGACAATTCATGAAGTGCAGCATCAGTTTTATTGATGCATCTAAAATTTCAACTGGAACACTCCCAGGTCTCCAAATTCTTACTAGAAATTGTAGTTTTCTGTAATAAAACTGCTCATCTGCACTTCTGTTTTTCTAAAAAGATGGTGTTCAATCTCTACTATACCTTTTTTACCTGCGTAAATGATGGTTTCCTATTTTGTTCGCAGGTTTTATTGCTACATTGACCTGCTTGCTTTTAGTGCATTGTCCTGAGATGACTTTAGCGGTGAACTGGCTCTATAAAAATAAAGTGAGCAGTTTCAAATGAAAATAATTGGCAGCTGAGCACAAGAAAGAGCAAATCTTACCTGCCAGGCAACTGGGCTAGAATCAATCTGTGGCATATTTACAAAACTCAAAAACCTGCAAGGAAAATGGAAAAAAGTTAGACTAAAAAGGTTTCAGAGTCTGTGCTTTGATTTTTCATAGAAATGTCCATAAAATGGCTTCAATGTTATTTCTGTAGCTGTATCGACTGTGCTGGAGTCTGAGGAACCGTACGGAGGAGAGAATAGACATCGAACAAGATGACTGGGTTGATGAGGGCGATGATGACATGCAAATAGAAGGTGAGAAGAAGAAACACGGAGTTTGCATAGAGAACAGTGATGCTTTTTGTAGAAAAAAGTGGTAGATATGTTATTTATTTTCTGCTGATTCATGTTTAATCTAGTTTTGAAACAAAACTTTTTTTTTCTTACAGAAAATGAGGAGAAACCAGGTTTCTGCAAGAAAGCAGTCATGTGCTTCTGCGGACTGGAGGAGTCGAAAAAAGCACCAAAACTGAGTCCAGAAGAGGAGGCGGAGCTAAAGAGGCAGCTTACTGATACGTCAGAAAAGCCTCTGTGGAGGAACGTCGTCAACGTCAACGCCATCATTCTGCTGTGTGTGGCTGTATTCTTCCATGGATACTTTGGTTAGAGGAACTGGACACACTTCAGTCCATGCTGGACACTCCTTTACTGTGTATTTAAGTCAGGATTTTATATATATATAAAAAAAAAACAACCCTAAAGCACTTTCACACTAGTGTAGCATTCCTTCTGTGTTGTACAATGACTAATGATCTCATCCAGGGCATCAAATGTGGGTTTTTTCCCCAAAAGTATTTTCTTTTTTTATTTAACTTTTCCTGGTATGTTCCTCCCCCTGAAGTAAAACACTAAGCCACACTGTAGTTTATTAACACACGATAACTTGTTTAAACGATGTGTAAAAACTCACACTTTTTTCTTGACATTTGCATATTATTTTTGCGATACATTTCCAGGTAACTGGGAATTTTCACCTTTTTTGGGGCATGTGTATTTGCCTTTTTTAGTGAATAGATACATAATTAGCAGTGTATTATGAATAGAGCACAGTCATACTGGAAATTTAAGATGAAGACGCACATTTGTTTGTAAAACTCCAGAAATAAAAATGCTTCTTTTATTCTATCACATTAGAAGTCACAAAAATGATTTAACATTATTGGGAAAAAAGCTCCAAAATATCGATGTAATGTAATATCTAACTGATGAAGGTTGTAAATTTCATAATGTGTGTGGTACCTCATTTAACTACAGTCATTTTCTCGTTATGTATGTTCAAAGTCCATCAGTGCTGTCACTTCTTACATTTGTGCACCTTGCTGTGTGTGTTTGTGTGTGTGTGTGTGTTGATTTAGGTGTTAATGAATAAAAACATCTCAGGGAAGAGGGATGGGGAAATACAGTGTTCAGACTCTCTCTTTGTTTGCATCTAGTTTTTAGAAATAATTTGTGAGCTAACGTGTAAAACAAAAAAATGTCAGCTTCTTCACTGCGCTTTAAATTTCTGCTCAAATTGTACATTTCTCTAAATAAATGAATGCTGAATTGCACATGCATGTGCCTGCTGCATTTTAATTGTCTAAAACAAGAGTTCCCAAACTTTTCCATGCCAACACCCCCCAAACAACTTTAGCTTCTGGCCGGGGACCCCCTTGCAAGTTGACAATAAAATACATCAAGAAATGTAAAGAAATATACATTTTTTAGAATGTTTTTCTCACTTTTATTCACATTGAATAGCTGTAAAGCCATACTTAATGTACGCTGCCTCAAATTTCCTGATTTTACTTGGCCAGGAGTTTTTTACGCTGCAGGGCTGCTAGTTGCATTTGGCCTTTTGTTGTCACAAACTTGTCCACTATGCTAGCTATAGTCTGAATAAACTCTGTCACTATTAACCTCGGGAGAACTGCCACCTTTAGTTTTCTTTATGGTTCTTGCAAGTTTAGTGCTGAAACCAGGAACAAACCCAGCACAACAACAACAAAGAGAGATGGATGGTTGTAAAAAAAACAAAGACATTCTTGCCAAAAAATGAAGACATCATGTAAATATCTCTAAAAATGGGACAGCAAATTTATAAATAAATAAATGTGCTTTAATTCCCTTTTCTGTTTTCATTTAGGCTTATAGGAATGTCCACAGCATTTCAGTGTCAACAAAGTTATATCTATCAGATTCGGACCACCTAATTGAATTTTTGAGTGGTTCACAAGTGGTTAGTTTAGGTTTCTTGTACACCTGTCTTAAACTGGAGCCAGGCTGTGATGTGGCTCACAGTTGGCACTTCAAAACTAAAACTTGACAGATCAGAAAGATGACAATGGCAAAAGACCTTTCAATCTATTGTTATAAATTATATTTAAAATAGTTATTGAAAAACAAACAGAATTTTTTGTTAATATTTAACATTTTTATTTTAACTTCTTAAGGATTTTCTTGATGTTTTTGCTCAAAATACCATGCCGAAATGTAAATGAGTGTATCTCAGAATTTATAAACTCCACTTAAAAATCTTAGTAAGAAAATAAAGCTAACCTTTGTGAGATTTCATCAGAAGTGTATTAAAACAGCTGCTGTGGTTTTAGAGATATTAAGGATAAAATATAATGATTTTTTTCACTCTTACCTGAATAAATTTTTCATTAGATAGTATATAAACCATTTAAAACCATAATGAAGAAGGCTAAAAACTCTTGGAAACCATAAACCCACTTGTGGACATCACCTGTGCAAAGATTCATGCTGCTAAAATTAACTGGAGCAGTTACAGAGGTTTTAGTGAAGAAACAATTTAGAATTTTGTGATTCTGCACAGGACAGACCATATTGGTATCATTAATAAATGTTAAGAAATCTGAAGTTTTAATTGCAAAAGTTATTTCTTTTTTTCTTACCTGCCTGAAAAGACTTATTGAATTTTTGTTCTTTTGAAAACATTATTTAAACATTTATTTGTCACTATATATATTATATAAAATAATGAGAAATTATATTAGACTTCAGTTGGATCACATTCACTCAAAATCAAGAAAAAGACCTTTCAACACATGTTATAACCTATTTTGGTATCTATTTTGACTTGCTTTACAAAAATAATATCACAATATTTTCCTTTACAGATTTGTTGTAATGTATTTACAGATTTGCATTGATGACATTTTGAACAGTTTGTTTACTTTCTGATTCAACTGCTTGACATTTGAACTGTGTTTCGTGCATGTAAAAATAGTTCCTATGAGCCTTTAGCCAAGATTCTTAGGTTTATTTTGATGCCAAACATATCCATGTTCAACTAACAGATCTTAAGTTAAAAAAGTTCAAAGAAATAGAAAATTATCCGCTTTTTGAGGCCTCCCTAGCGCCCCCTGGCGGCCCCCACTTTGGGAACTCCTGAAAGATAAGCCTCCCATTCGCATGCCTGGGTTTTTTTTTTTTTATCTTGGTTTTATCACTTATTCCCTGGTCATTGTTCACTAATTAAAATACACTGATGTGTTTGCTGCTGGTAAATGTTTGATTTTTTTTCTCCCTCGTCTACTGTTAATCCCCACCTAATTCTCATGAAGCTGCTAATAATTTTATCCCTTTATAAATGATAAGGTTGGTGCTGACCCTGCTGATCTGCATTATGACTCTGCCTCAACAGGTCCAAGGTCAGGACAGAGGCTTGTCTCGCTCTCAGCAGTTATTTAAACTTCAAATGTATTTTTGTTTTTTGTGTTTTATGAGCTGTTCTGTGTCACTTTTGAAATTATTTATTTACTCACCGTTATTTAACCAGGCAAGTCCCACTGAGATCTCAGATCTCTTTTTCAAGGGAAGCCTGGGCCTAAATTATTACTTTTACTTACTAATTACTAATTTACTTAAATTATTCTACAGCAGGAAGTAGTGTTGGAATCACAATGAGAAAAAAACATGGAGGAAATCAAGACAGGCTGGGTTTTTCAGGTTTTGTTGTGGTAAGGAACCCTGAAAAATAAATAATAACCTTTCTCCTGAGCACCATACTGTCTCGTGTACACCACGTCTGTCTCGATATTTCTCCTCAGAGCTCTATAAAATACTAGAAAAAAAATAACAAAGGGAAACAGAAAATTACTTTGGTAAAATTGAATTTCACTAATAAAAAAAGAAGCTCATAATACTCTACTCACAATAATCAGGGGAGTAAAAGTGAAAGTACTCACACAGTCACACACACACACACACACACACACACACACACACACACA